CAAATTTATTCTAATCCAGTATCACCAAAAGATATTCATAGTCATACCTATTTTCAATTAAAACATTTAATTTACAGTGTGCACTTTAATATTTGGGGCTGTGATTCTATACTAAGCTACTCAGTCTCTGGTTTACAACTCCACTTGCAAAAAGATCTGTTCTCCTCAAGTGCAGTTCCATGCTGGCTAACAGGGAAAGGAAGTGGAATTAAGAAGATGAAAGCACGGTGCCACCTTCCTCTGACATCCACGCTCATGTCTCAGACCTTTTGATGCCCCGGTCCACCTGAGGTGCAGCACAGTGACAGAAGCTCTCTCTTAAGTGAGGAAACTAGTATCTTTCATTGAGGGGTAGCATCGTGCCACTTTCTCTGTTGAATACCGGAAGTTCAGAAAACTACAATGAAATAGTACACACAAGCTGACAAAATAAAGAAGAAAGTTGCCAAAAATAAATAAAAAATTTAAAAAGTCGAATTCTGGATTTAGAGAAAAGTGCAATTAATTAATCCTTTTGGGAACTCGGGGGCTTTCTTCTTTAGCCTCTCTCCCAGAAATACAAGAGCTTCCACTCAAAAAAACAAAAAACAAACAAACAAAAAGGGATTAGGAAACAGGGAACTTTAAGTGACAACATGAGCTACTCACCTATTGTTCTAAGTAAGTGCTCAGAAAATGTCTATTGTTGCTGCTGGCTGTATGTGGTGGCTTATCTATAACTCAAGGCCATCAGAAAACTTGAGTCAACAAATTCCTATGGCACACTTACTAAATGTCAAACAGTGTAGGACCTAAAAAGCCAAAACAAAAAACTTGAGTAGGGTAGCCATGGGAGATGGGGGTGAGGAGGGGGTGGAGGGGAAGAGAGGGGAGCTAGAAGAAAATTAAACATGTGCTCAAAAGAATATTATATATAAAGGAGAAATGGAATAATGATTAGTCAGAGGAAAATGGCATCAGTACAGAAAAACCTTAAATGGGAAATTTAATCTAGATGTGGAAAGGTGATTAGATGGGCAGGGAGAAAAGGTCAGTTCAGGCAAAACAGGCAAAGATACCTGAAGTGTATTTGTTCCTGATTGCAACATAGTTCTTTGGGGCAGAAGCACCAGGATAACAAGAGTTGTTAAAATTTTAGGGTTGTCCTAAAGACTCCATCAAAAAACTATTAGACTTAATAAAAGAATTCGGCAATGTAGCAGGATACAGAATTAACGCCAAGAAATCTATGGCATTTCTATACAAAACAGGCAAAGATACCTGAAGTGTTATTTGTTCCTGATTGCAACATAGTTCTTTGGGGCAGAAGCACCAGGATAACAAGAGTTGTTAAAATTTTAGGGTTGTGATATCACCTAAGTAGGCATCCCTAAGACATTATTCTCTAAAATATACACCCTGGTGCCCTGGCCATTGTGGCTCAGTTGGTTGGCGCATCATTCCATGCACCTAAGGGTCGTAGGTTGGGGTGTGTGTGGGAGGCAACTGATCAATGTTTCTATCTCACATTGATGTTTCTCTCTCTTTCTCTCCCTCTCCCTTCTTCTCTCTCTAAAATCAATAAAAATAAATTAATAAAAATAAACATCCTGGTCTCTGCAAAATGAAAGATGCAACCAAAAGGCATACAAGAGCCATACTAGAGATCTCTGCCAAATATTTGTTTGTTTTCCTCTCTAGGTCAATTCTTCACTCATCTTCACCTTACCCTGTTCCCTAGGAGACTGACCTTCATTAGCTATAATGGGCTCACTACAGCTTCCAGTGGGGTTCTTGCCCTCCGCTTTCAGAACATCGTAAGATAGAAGTGGGATGATTTTCCTGGTTCCTTCCCCACCAGGTCCTTTTGTGGGCTGTGTCCCTCTACCGGAGGCCACAGCTGTATCAGGACATCTCCAACAGTAGAGCACTAACACCACAGTATTGCCTCATCACTTGGAGTTTCCCTTAATGCTGCCCATCCTCTACCACACTCTCCCCAGTCATCCTGTCTGAATGTACCATCTGCTACCTGTTCATGATCCTGACAGAATCAGAGTTAGTCTCAGAAAATGACAACAACCCTTTTTTAGCACTACCATTGCCACTACCCCATTTCTGATATCAATACTGACCGAGAATACAGAGCCACCAAAGTCCCTCCAATTCTCTAGCCCTTCGCAAGCAAGCCATTGAGCCATTCTGTTTCCTGGGAAGAGCTGGAGTTTGAGGTACATGTACTGGATTTTACTGTTAAATATGTAATAGCACAATGATTAAAAGGCATTCTCTTTATTTGTCAAGAGAATTAGTTTTCTAAATTATTTCAATAACTTCAGTTTTGTTTTACAAACTTAAAGAAAAGGTGAAAGAAGATTTAAGAGAGAAGAAGTAAAGAGAGAAGTAATCTCAGAATGAGAATTTATAACTAGATATTTCGACTCCCATTCCAAAATCAATGTTTCTAATACCTTCTTTTTTTTATTATACTCCATCCCATTTATATACAAATTTTTCAAAAATATTCACATAAAGCCCCTTCTAAGTGCAACACATGTCTTCCTGGGAGAAATAAAGGGATCTCTTTCTATGCTTAATAATGCTGTATGTTTATTAAATTACTAGAGGCCCGGTGCACAAAAATTTGTGCACTCGGGGTGGGGGGAGGGAGGGGGAGCCCCCAGCCCGGCCTGTGCCCTCTCGCAGTCTGGGACCCCTCAGGAGATAACGACCTGCTGGCTTAGGCCTGCTCCCGGGTGGCAGAGGGCACACCCAATCCCTAGGTGCAGCCCCTGGTCAGGCTCAGAGCAGGGC